ATTGAACCTGCATCTCCTTCATTGCAGGTGGGTTCTTTATTTACTGAGCCATTGTGGAAGTCCTGATCTAGCAACCTGGAGGTGAGCAAAATAAAACAAATGTAGAGCTCGGATGCTTCCCTTTACTCAGCTACTCAACATTATGGAGTAGCTTACCCTATGCAAGGCAGACAGTGAGGACAGAGGGGAAAATTAAGATAAATCATGCTGGTCTCATGGAGAATGTCATATTTGAGTAATCTTGAAGGTCAAGTAGAGCTGAGGAAAGTGGAGAGGACATACTAGAGCTGAATGAAGTGTCACCAAGGGGAAGAACAAGAACTAGGCAGAGATTCTGGAAAAGAAATAGTGTAATATGGAGATATGACCAAATTATATCAAGTATCAAAATAAATGTATTCTGCTTGATTTGTTTGCTCCTGGTGATGAAGCAGGAGAGAAAAGTGACTTTGTAAAATGTATGGAATGGACTGATGTCCATTGGAAAATACCAAAATGGCAAAAGACTAGTTTGAAGACTGCTGGAATAGCCCTGGGCAATATATAATAAGGGCCAATAAAATAAAATGGACTTTATAGGATAGAAAATACTATATTTGAAAGATAATTACAAATTTATATAATAAGTAAGAATTGTCTCACAATTTAAACAATTAATTGTCATTGCATGTGCTATCTCCTCAGACACAGAAAGAAAAATAGGGAGACATTTCTTTCATTGTTCTCTAGCATTTTGTTTAAATTTATTAATTTTACAGGAGAACTAAAATATAACTGGCTTCCCTGGTGGCTCAGATGGTACAGAATCTGCCTACAATGTGGGTGACTGGGGTTGACCCCTGGGTCAGGAAGATCCCTAATGGCAGGTAACCTACTCCAGTATTGTTGCCTGGAGAATTTCATGGACAGCCAGGCTACAGTTCATGGGATCACAAAGAGTCGGACATGACTGAGCAACTAACTCACACACACACACACACACACACACGATATAACTATGAATAATTCTAAGGCATAATTGAAATAGTTATTTATTCAATTTTGATAATATTTACATGGGTGAGAAAAATAAATCTTAGAGAACCAAGAGTGCAAAGTGGATAAATTATAATTTCCCTCTTAAATTTTGTTTCCTGAATCTATTTAAATAGTAAAAGCTGGCTCCGTGTATGTTATATTAAAGCATCTTGCATTGCGAATGAGTCAACTAAGCCAAGAACTGTGGGTTTTTACATCATTTGTCATAAAGCCTCTGTAGAATATATATCTGTTTATGATGTGTCCTGTTTAACAACAAATCACAGAAGGAATCTGAATGAGGGCCCATGTTTCTGGCAGGTGGGGTAGTGATACAGGAAAGAAGGTTCATGATGGCACCACCCTGAGCAGTGCTACTTCAGGCTCCCCACCTCTGCTTCAATCAGAAAAATCACAAGATTTAGTTGCACTTATGTCTCATTATCTGTGTGCTGCAGGTTGAGAATAATTGCTGAATAAATTAGCATCAGATCAGAGAGCATGAAATTAAGGACACAAATAAAGTGAGTTGCAACATAGTAAATTAAAAACAAGTTGAAGACTTCCTAGGTTGAACACCAAGAGCTACATTTATTAAGGGGAAAAAGTTTCAACTCATATAGAACAAATAAGACACAGAAATATTTTAAATATTTACATTTTTCTTTACACATATGTGTAGCTTCATGGCAGCAACATCAAAGAGAATATTCGATTAGAAGATTGGAAATGTTAAGTCTGTATTTTCAACCACAGTCCTTGTTTTTTAAACTAGACTTTACAGAATTTAAAGATGATCATTTGTTGATGATGACATTTGTTTCCAAAAACAAAGGTCTCAAATGCATATAAAATAGTATAGGACAAATTCAGTTGTCTTACTTTGAGAAGTTTAGTTGTCTTTTATTGTCTCAGCCAGAACCATTCACATAAAACAAGTTCTGTAATAAATTAAGGGTCTATAAAAGTAGGTGAATATTAGCTATAGTAATTTTTGGATCTTGTCGAATATTATCTGGGGGTTTCCCTGATGGCTCAGATGGTAAAGAATCTGCCTGCAGTGCAAGAGACCTGGATTCAATCCCTGGGTTGGAAAGATCCCCTGGGAAGGGAATAGCAACCCACTCCAGTATTCTTGCCTGGAGAAGTCCATGGACAGAGGAGTCTGGTGGACTACAGTTCACGGGATTGCAAAGAGTCAGACACAACTGAGCCATTAACACTATTATTATCTGATACATTTACTTAAATAGATTAAAATAAATACTTATTCACTAATACAATTATCTTTAATTTTATTCACACACAAACATATCTTAATTTCATCTGCATACAATTTTTATAAGGTAGGTATGATTTTGTGTGTGTGTGTGACATTGAAGTTCAAAGTTTTAACTAAAGTGGCATGGATTGGTTCAGGTTTAAGTGTGGTGGGTTTACATAAATATTTAGGAAGTTTCTGCTTCTTCAAGGAAGCAAATATTTTTAGCCAGGGAGCTAAAAATATATATGCAAGAGAGAAAAAAATAAATGAAAGATCTGAATAAGAGGTTTGGACAAAGTAAGGAACACTGCAGAAATTTACAAAAATCCTTACATTAGCACAGTGTTCAAAAGAAGGAGATTATTTCAGGGTTAAGTGATGAGGAATTATTTTGTGGAGGTGGTGATGGAATTTGAATAAGGTTTTGAAGGAACTGCAAAGGTAGTTAGGTTTCAGAGAAAGAGGCAATGTAGGCAGGGTAACATATCAATTAAAATGGATTAGGAATGACATGGATACGGAGAATTTCAGAGCACAGGAAGAGAGATAAATGGAAAAGTAATAACCATGTATTTATTAATTACCTGCTCTGTGTCATGCCCATTTAAACGTTACTTGTATTAATTCAAGTCACCTTTGCAACATCACTATGAGGCATTCTTATCCCATGTCATTAGTGAGGAAATTCAGGCTCTGAATGTATCACTAACTTGTGCAAAGCTACATAGTAGTTCATGGTAGAAGCAAAATTAAAATCAATCCATAGCCCATGTTCTTGACCATTATGCGGTACTGCCTTCTGTGATCATAATAGTGATCTGTCACTCTTCTACACATTACAGCTTAACTCATTACAGGGTAGATTGGCTGCCTACATATAGGCCTTAGTTTTACATATACCCTTGAGGAAGTCATGGTCAGTGTTTATTCGAGGAAGTGGAATTTAACAGTCATATTAAGGATGAAGGAAGACATAAAAATAAATCAAAGATTTTGTATATTATTATACTGTGACTGTCATTAAGAAGTATGTTTTATAATAGATAATACCTTTTTTGCATAGCAAATGACTACTCAATCACTGTTAACTCCTGTTTCCACAGCATCTATCCCAGTATATGCTATCACTAATGTCCTTCCAAAGTCCTTCCTTTCAGATAGAATATAACCCTGTTCAAGTTCTGATTTCATTTTACTGGCCCTGTGACACTCTCCCTCACATCACATTCTAACCTAAAATATTCCTCCCCATTCATCATAGGACATGATTTTTGTAAAATCTATTTTATTCCTTCAAAAAATATTTATTTTGTCTCTCATTTGCCTCTTGCCCCTGCCCCTTACCTTTTTTTAGGCATCAAGTGGAGGAAAGAAACACATCTAAGTTTGAAGAAACCCACACGTCTGCAGGTAATTTTATTTCTATAAAATTTCTATAAAATTCTATATAATTTTAATTCTATAGGCATTCTTATTGGAGATGTGTACCTATCTGATTCATAGAGAAAACCAATCTTCCAGCAAACCAGGCTGATTCAAAAGCTCTGTCAAGCATCAACATTATACTCTTAGCTAAGGTCTTTTTCTTCTGTGTTCTCATCTGTGACCTACTGTGAATGAATCATGATTTGAGAATTAACTGGTAATAAATCAGATACATTTTTTTTTGTTTCTTTTGTTCCTCTTTATTGTGAAAAAGCCATCTTTATTGCTGCTGTTGTTTTTGTTTTGTTTTCCGCATTTAAAAGTAGAAATGGACATCCAATCAATTACGTTACTTTGTAGAATAAGAACACTTATTGAATACACTGCCGCTATGCATATTTGGCATATATCATTTAAAACTGGATTAATAGCAAGGGGAAGTTGAACCAATGTTTAAAAAAAGTTTAAAGAGTGTTCCTTGCCAAATGTTTCAGATGATTTTACAAAGTGGTATGTAGGGTATGAGGAATAAGGGAAGGAAAGAGAATACATAGGAATGGCAAAGACAAAATGGATTAAAAGAAAATAAAGGCCTCAGTTATGTGTCACATAAATACTTTACTGAATGACTGAAAAACTGTTTGAAATCCTTATATTGAAACACTCAAAACACAACCATATTTACAAGAAATTAACAAGAATTTGACAGATGTGAAATTTTAGCTATTTTTGAGTAAAAACAGGATTTGCTTTAACAAAATAATTAGTCTTAAGGAACGTTCCTAGTCTTCTGAGGTTATTGCTTTCTTTAGCACTATTAAAATATCTCAATCAAAAAAAGGAATAAAAGAAATACACCTGGCTATAAAGAGCCACTTAAAAGGTGGCAGGCACCTAGGGTTACAGTAATCCTATTAAATGTTAAACTTCAGTGCCTCAATCAAAACTTTGAAGTTAATATTTCATTAGGATAAAAAGTGAAAGAGCCAAGAGGAAAAAAAAAATGATACTTTCACTGCTTCTTTTATCTGGAAACATTTTCTCTGGTGCTGAATTCATAGTAAGTGAATTAATCCAATATGTTTAAAATAATAAACAGAAATTCAGGTTCATTGAAGATCAGCTTTGATAAGAAACCACTGAAGTACAGGACACATATTATGATTATCAGAGAAATTCTTAATCGAATTATTATGCCCAGTGTTCTGTGTATCCTGAAATTAACAATAACCTAGTAGAAGAAATTCAGATATTTATGATCACACACACATGCATAGTTTGCCACTGTACTTACTTTTGGTCACGACACCCTCTAAGTGAATGATGTTAGGATGGTCAAACTGCCCCATGATACTTGCTTCCCCAAGGAAATCTCTGCGCTGTTTCTCAGTATAGCCTACTTTAAGGGTTTTAATCGCCACAGGTAATTCTCTCTTTCCTGGAAGTTTCAAACGTCCGCTACAAACTTCACCAAATTCACCTTGTGATAAAGATGTAGAAAACACATAAACTCATTAAACATCTTTACTCTAAAATAGTACTCTAAAGTTCTCTTAGAATAGTAAGGTTTAGACAAAACAAAATTAAATGGGAGTCCAAATTTCCTTGTCATTGCTGAAAGACATTAATTGTCCATAGGGAAAAAAACACCTATGGGTGATCATGAAACACATTGGGGGTTATTAGTTTCATCTGTCTTACATATAGAAACCTTAATGGAAACATTAGAAAGAAACCAAAAGCAACTGACTGAAAACCACTTCCTTCTTCCTTTGCTTTCTACTCTAGCAGTGACACTAATGAGAAAATAAGAAAAGATCATAGCAGGGCAAAAAGGAAACAATCTTAGTGAAGAGATGATTCATACACAAAATAATTGGATGCTTAAATTTTGTAAATCTTTCTGGGCATTACAAATTACATATGTATGAAATATAAAAAATAGTAGATAGTAAAATACCATGTTTGAATATTTATTTTTGCTGGTTTATTTTTTTCATAAGCTAGACATTTGCAGGTTTAAGTATGAGCTATGTAGAGGGTAGTAGTAAAATACAATCAATTATGTACCACTTTGAAAGCAAGACAATTACAGAAGATTAAAAACATCTTGAGTTAGATCAGAACATTGATATATTACACTCTATAATATAAACACAAGTTAAAAGTTTGAATTAAACACACTGTCTTACCTGCTCCAATAACTCTCTCAATGGTGATGCATGAAGCTTCTATCTCCTTGGCAAATTCATGGACAGCTTGATTGGGGTCCTCATAGGTATGTGGATCAATATAAGTTCTTACTCCTGGCAGTTTAACTGCAAAAATAAACGGGCATTAAAATAGAAGTGCATTTGATAGATGAATGAAATTATAAACGTTATTAACGTGTAACTATGGCTTAAATCCCTAATTTCTAGAAGTGGCAGAGCTGCAAGGACAGACTCTTCTCCTGAGTTATAGGGGTCATTTGTACAACTATCTCACTTTTATAATTGTAGAAATCTGGATTGCTGGCATACCCATGAAGTACATATGTGAGGACATATTTGAATAAATACATCTTTTAGCAGTTATGTTCAGGGAGTCAGTCTCTGAGCAAACTAAGACACTTTTGCTTACCAAACTGAACAATGAAATGCTATTGGCTTAGTTGTCAGTTTGTTCTATTATGCTTTACTTAAAACCTCATCACAGATGATTTAGTTTTTATAAAAATAAATTAAAACAGATTTTCTGGTGCTTTGGTCCTATAAAACTGACATAGAAGTCAAAAGAAAAAAAGAAATTCACTCTATTTTTACTGCAGGGCATTATACAAGTCTCTCATATTTTATAAGCCTCAGTTTTATCACATTTTAAAGACTACCAATATCACCCTCAACAATATTTTTTGAGAACAAATAACATTATACAAGATTGTACTGAAATGGACTCAAAAATTCTTTCATGACTTTGATATGGCAGAAAGACAAAAACAAACAAAAAAAATCCCACTCTTTTTGTCATTTACTTGGCAAATCAATTCACACTGTACTCTATCTAAAAATGAACATATTAAAATAATAAAATTAGAACCCATTTAGGCTAATTTTTAAAGCTCATGAATAAAACTTGATTTTCTGCATTTCTTAAAAGTGTAGTTTTTTTCAAGTCATTTGAACCAAGGTTGCTGTTACAGGATCTGCTCAGGGAAATTCCTGCCAAAATGCTAGGAAAAAAAAGAAAAATATATTCATTTATTCTGGTGATTTTATCTAATGATATATTTCTATTGACTATTGCTAGGAATTAGAATTGGCCTGGAAATACAGTTTGATGTATAACAACTTTTTATAAAGCAAAAAGTTTTTGTTTTCATTATTATAAGGAGAGTTTGCTTTAAAGAACTGAAAAAAACATTAAGCTATTGCCCAGGGTCAGCCAGCAACACCGCAAGCCCAGGAATGTACCAAAAACACTTTTTAACACAATACTTTTGGTCAGTTTTTACAAATATTTGCCTGAAAAGAAGCCAAAGTAACAATAAAGTCTCCTCTACTTTGCTTTATTTTCATTTTTAAAATTTTTTTTTTTTTTTTTTTACAGTTTGCTTACTGTGCCCATTATGAAAATGCATCTTTTCCTCTTCCGGGTCTTGTTTGGCTTTGCTGTAACCACACCGCCTGGAACAGAGTAAGTCATGATTAGCCACATCTCCCAAGTGGTGAATTACATCAAGCCCAGAAGCACACAACACAATTGAAATGACTGTAATCTTAAGTGATTTTCATACCAGCAGGATGGAACACCAATACTCTTGGATGAATCGTATTTCTGCAGACAGTATCCCTTACTCCTGCCCAGATTTCACTGAGAAGTCTGAAGCTCTCCAAATCTATTTTTAAATATCACTTTACCATACACCACACACCAGACACTTCTCTGTTCCCTTCCTCTTTTGCTTTTTTTAACCACTTCTGAGAACCCTGCCTTTTTCAGATGAACTGCCCCAATATGTGTCTGATTCAATAGCTCCTCCCTTCAGCACCTTACATTATCATTTTTTAATTTCTTTTCCTCTTGCTTTAGAGTCTCTAGTTTCTCTGCTGGCTCTTTTTCCCTCACACCCACTCAGAGATCACTGTCAAGTCCCCAACGTCTGCTACCCCTCTCAGCTCCACTCCCCAAATTTTAGTCTTGCCTGTTTTTCTCTACTTACTAATTTGTAAGTCCTTTAAAATCTGCTCTTATTACTCACAAAAAGCTTCCCCTCTAATGTTCACTGATAACATAGTCATTTGTAAATCCAGTGGCTTTTTCTTAATTTTTAATCCATGATTAATTGATATCCCTAACTAATCCTTTTCTGATGTTTCTTACTGCTCCTTTCATTTATATGGACAATTCCCTATGTCCTCTGCCCAGACTTCTCTGGTTCTCTCCTGTTGATCTAGCCATTTTCATCAACTTAATTAATATATTTATCCCTCTGATTTTATCCTTTCGAAGCTATATTTTTATTCTTTGTAGATTTACTTTATAGGAATATTCCCCAGGCATTCACACTCAACAGACTGGGGCGGGGAAAAAAAAAAAAAAAACAGTACCTTTCTCTTTACTTTCAATCTTGATCTGCTACCTTCTTTTCCTCTTAATAACACTTCCATGGCCTTGGTACCTGATCAAAGTCCTATGCTTGTGTACCTCACAATAAATTTGTTGTCAAATCCCAAGCATTATATAACATAAAATCTTATGGTCCATCTCTTCCATCTCATTAGTTCTACCCCTTCTTCAATTAAAGCCTGTTCTTTTTCATTTGAATTACTATCAGTGCCTCTGAACTGATGCCCTTGCATTCTATAACTGCTTTCCTGAACTATAGTAGACATGGCTGCAGCCATATTACCATAAATAAGGTACTCTTCTATTATGTTACCTCTCTCCTGAAAACATTTCAATAAAAAAGTAAAGATTCCTAAGTGTAGCCCCAATGCACACTTCCTACATCATCTCCAGGATACTTCTCCATGCTTCCATATGTTCCTGTATACTGGTTCCTACACTTAGGAGGCTCTTCTTAACAATCTCCAATTAATCTAAATCCAGTTCAATCCTTATTTCCCCCCCCGCCCCGCCACCATTACCCTTGCTTATTTTAATCTTCCTCACTATGAACCCAGTAGTTTTCAGTATTCCTCTCATGGAGAGATTTCCAGTCGACAATACAATGTGGTCATTTGAGAATATTTTTTGGCTCTCTTGTTTTATTGTTAGTTTCTTAAATGGCATCAACTACTGTTCATCTATAAATTTCTGGTCACTTGGCACCTAGATCAGACTTGGCGCCAAAAATATTTGTCACATTGATGAAATGAATAAATGAATGAGTAGATGATATTCTGATTGAGTCTACATAATGACAAGTGTTTGAGAGAGAATAGGCTGATGAATACTGAAGTACATGAACAACAATATAACATTAAAACAATTAACCAAAATAAAAATATTTTAACTACTTTTAGTGAAACTCCTAAGGAGGTGAATTTATTATTCACAAACTCTTAGAAAAAATTGCATTTATCAAGAACAAAATTTCATTTATTTTTGTGTAAAGAAAATATAGCTGAAATGTCAGATTGACAAAATATTTTCATTAAAAAGGTGACTGAAAACTACTATTGGATGTAAGGGAAGAGGCCAGTTGACATGCACTGAGGGACTGTTCTTGGTTTCATATTCTAAAATGTTTCTTAAATATGTGTATATTTTGATATAAAAATAAAACCTATTGTATTCTCTATCTTTCCTAGTGTATAATTACACATACAAAATAGATTACAAAACCTGTTTTTGTGCCATTTTTGATAAAAAAAATATAGTTATCTTAATTTTATCATGTTAAAGAGCTGGCTAGCAAAATTTGAATAAACTTGAAATAATGTGTTTAATACATATAGTATACTTAGATGAGGAGCATCACACCATGGGGATCTGGTGGCCTTTCAAACTATATTCAAAACACGTAGATGCAAGACATCTTGAATCACTTCAACACAGTGAAATGGAGAGAAAAAACAAATACACGATATCATCCTGAAGTAACAGTTTACCTATTCAAGCTGATATTTGTTATTTTAATATTGTTCATAATTTTAGGTATTACATTCTTCTTTTTTTTTTTTTACATTCTTCTTTCAATCGATGTATGTACCTTTACAGAGAAGGTATTGATACTGTTTTTTATTTTCAACAATATTCTACATACAATTGTGAGAAATCATCCTGAGATTTACGTTATGTAAAGAACACTGACAGAAAACTTCATTAGAGGAATTCTAAAGAGACTTAAAAAGTATACAAGTTCTTGCAGTTTACATTAGAAAACAAACATCCACTCCACCTTCAACTCTCCTACGTTCAGAAAAAAATTAAGCTTTGAAACTTGTATCCTCAAATAGCCTTTATCATTAAATAAGCCTCATGGATATTTAAACTGCATGCAAATTCCTTATATGAAAATGGAAATAAAACTTTGGATCTAATCTAAAAAATGATTTGGGAATACCTTGTTGAGGAGCAGTTAACATTTTAATACCTAGGGTGAGAGTCAGGAGGGCAATAGGAAGGAGTTATTTCTGACTATGGGTTTCTCTGGAGTTCTATAACATATACGGCTGCATGTCACATTAACATATAAAATTAAGTTCTGGAAACCCCCAAAGCACCATTAAAACAAACCTCAACAAGATACAGCCAAGTAAAAGTGCAGCTGGCAGAGACTGCACTCAAGCAGTGGTTCAGCCTCACTAACAAAGCCGTGCAGGAAGCCTCTTCATTCAGTACCATGTTCTGTACCTTGTCCAGATACATCATTTTAACCCATCAGAAACAGTCAATAAGTATGCCCTTCCATATATAAATTAAACTATCTTCTGGAACTTTTTTTTTTTTCCTGAACAGAAAAGAAACAGTTTCTTCATTTTGCTTCAATCACAATTTTAATGGATCTTGATATCATTGTGCTAAAAATATCTTAATGTAATTAGAGGAATCATCCTCTACCCTTTAATGCATATCTTCTTCTAGAAAATGATATTATTTTATTTTGGCACTAGAGGGGCATGAGAAATCACATTAAATGTAGGCATAGTTTATACTCATTAATAAAACTTATTAAAAGGCATTGAGTCATGTTTCTTATATAATATATAAGTGATTTCATAGTTAATTTGGAGATAAATCTATTTTTCCCCATATCTATCCTAAAGATTTAATAATACAACCTTGATGATATTAATGTTGCTCTTAAAAACAGTCCAAGTCATTAAATCTAAATTTGGGTATTTGAAACTTCCATAGACATGAAATAGTAAACAATAATCTTTATGAATGGATGTAGGTACTAATGAGTAATTTAGTTCTCAGATGTAAATTGAGGATTAGATAATAAATTAAAGGTAGGAATGTGAAGCCCTCAAGGAGTACCAAGTGAAGAACAGAATCAGAACTTTCTAAATGACACTATTATGAACAATGAGGAGAGATGAGTGAACGAAAGAACAAAAGGAGATTGTAGATCCTTACTCCACAATAACCTCTACAAAATCAGATTTTTCCTTACTTTACCCTACTGAAATGAACACTGAATAAACACTCTTTCCCCTTAACTCTAAATATGGTGGGGAGGAAGCAATGGTGAAAGAAGTAATGGTTTTGCATTTTGATGTTTTTGAAAGAGTGAGCATATGCAGTACCTGGCTCAGAAATGGACATGCCTACAGCTGCTCCTCTATTGTCCAGATGGATTAAGAAATGCTTTACCATACTTTAAAGTAAAAATATTCAAAAGCAAATGTTGCAGCAAACATTAGAGTCAATATGTCTTGCTTATAGAAAAGTTCCTTGTATTGTATCCTCTTTTCAAAGCACATTTCTTCATATATGCACACACTCTTGTTCTGACATAATAATGACCTCAGCCACTGCATAATGTTGTGTTTAAGAATTTTATTGCTGGCATCTTAAAAAAAAAAAAGTTACAGTTTTGTGGGAAAATAGTTTGACCTTTTCACTTCAAGTTTCTCTCCAACTGAAAAAAGGTAGTTTTAATAAAAGTTCAGGTAACTCATCTCCCATAAAATAAAGAAGCATGTGAATATTAACTTATTATTAATAATAATTAATAAAAACTTAAAATAGATTGCTCTATTTTTCAGGACCACAGATCTATAAGAATGTGAGTGCAAATGCAGTAAAATGGGTCACTGGATAGATATGTAGGCGGTCCGACTAGCATTTGCATACAAGGTACAGGATTTTGATTTCCTTACAGATAATATAAGTTACATAAAAATGTAACTCACGTATTATCACTTACTGAAAATTCCCAGATACACTTTTAAAAGGAAATATACTCATTTTGGGAAACACGCTTTTCCTGCCCAGGAAATGAGAGTGATGAGTATACTGCAGAAGCCGAGCAAACACAGCTGTGTTCCCATCTCACATTCTACCAAGGCTACTAACCTCGTTATGGCTGATGGCATGTGAGAAGTGAACTTAGAGGTCTTTTTTTGTGCCTTGTATATTATTTTTAATTTCTATATTCTAAAAGACAAAGGAAAAAACTTGTAAACAACACTTCCAAAATAATGCAGTATATATGAATTTGGAATTTGTT